TTTTTTTTTTTTTTTTTAAATATCGGCCGCGTTCGACCGCAGCCTGGGGGGCCCCGACCTCGGCCGTGGCCGAACCAGGCCGCAGCCTACGTGCAACATAGGTCCTCGGGGCCCGAGGACGCCCCGAGGAGTGTCGAACGAGGCCCTTAGCATGTGGTTCGCCAGAGTTGGAAAACTTGGTCATGTAGATCTTGTATTTTGCCTAAATTTGTCGGTTCACGAGACGGAACCTGTTAGTACTTGTTGATGTATCATATTGTATCTTGCTGCGCAGGGGACGCTAGACCCGTTTTCCAGCAGGTGCTGCTCCCCACAAATAGATGGAGCCTCTCCCCAGGTGTTAGTGATGTCTGCCCAAAACAACATCACTAGCACTAGAGGGACTGTTTAAAAAAAAAAAAAAAAAAAAAGTTATCGAACCATAAGTTGTGGTCTTGGGTCAAATGATGGAAAACTATCATGTGCAGTTTGGAGCCGATTGATTGGTTGAATGACTCACTGATTGATTGAATGTATGATAGAGTGATTGACAGTTTGATCGATTGATTGAATGATAGATTGATTGACTGATTGATTGAATGATTGATCGATTGAACGGTTGGCTGATTGAGCAATTGAATGACCGACTGGCTGATTGATGGTGTAATTGGCTGACTAGTATTTGATTGATTGACTGACTAACTGACATACTGATTGATTGAGTGTCTGACATACGCATTCACTGTTCAATTTTCTGATGAGTAATTGGTTGATTGATTGATAGAATGTCTGATTGATTGATTGGTTGAATGACTCACTGATTGATTGAATGTATGATAGAATGATTGAATGTTTGATCGATTGATTGAATGATAGATTGATTGACTGATGATTGATTGAGTGATTGATTGATTGAGTGATTGATTGATTGGTTGATAAACTGATGCACTGATTAATCGATCGATGGATTGAATGATTGTTTGATGTACACAAAGAATCAATGAATCAATCAATTCGTCTAGCAATCAATCAATCAATCACGCAATCAAGCAATCAAGCAATCCAGCAATCGAGCAATCAATCAAACAATCAATCAACAAATCAATCAACAAATCAACCAACAAATCAATCAACAAATCAATCAATGAACCAATCAATTAATCAACAAATCAATCAATGAGCCAATCAATCAATCAATAAATCAATAAATCACTCATTCAATCAATCAATTAGTCAGTTAATAATTGAGTGAATCAGTCAATCAGTCAATCAATCGATCAGTCAATCAATCAATCAGTCAATCAATCAGTCAGTCAATCAATCAAACAGTCAGTCA